CTTTTACTCTAACCAAGAATAGGACTTAGTTCCAACAAGAGCCCGCACCTGTGAGAGGAGAGAATGCCATATATATATACACATATCCTTCTCATATTAGCATGTGGATTCCCTATTAAAATCCTTATGGGAAACAACTTATGTTTTCCTATATCAGTTTCCTACTGCAATAAAATCCTTTATTGACAAGAACTGATATTCATCTTCATATAAGACTTTCTTATCCTTATTGGATTTGAATAGCTAATGCCCGATCATCTTATCTCATGTTTATACTTTTACAAAGAGGTCTCTGGCAATGGAACGGACCAGCATCATGGATCCGGCGAAGGAGGCGTAGGCTGAGAACAAAGACGACACCGTTGTGGGCATTTCTTTGGGATTGTTGAGGGAAAACATTGTCTTCATCTTACAGAAAGGTATCTTGTGGAGAAGTTTATCAAATTATACATTTAAATTTTGAAATTTATATTTTAATTCTTGGAGGTAGCTTAGTGTCCAAGCAGTGAGATCTTTCTTCTGTCTCTGTTCTTAGAAAGTTTCAGAGAGATGCAGATCAAAGTTTGAATTGGTATTCATTCTTAGTAAAGTACACAATCAAAAATGGCAAGACATACAGAGAGTACGAGCATACAAATTTCAGTGTCTAAACAAAATATCTTGCCTAATATGTTGTCCAAAAATATTTTCATTCACGTGAAGAATAGGTACATGCTGTACCACAGTGGTTTGAATTTTGACTATGTTTTCGAGATGGGAATTGTGAGTTGGAGCGAGAGAAACAAATTGCATGATACGAGTTTATACATGTCTATGTATTATTAAGACGGGACATTCATACAAGTTGTTCTCTACATCTAAAATGAGAGAGAGATGTGTTAGGTTTTATGTCTTGCATGCACGCAACCCACTTGCAGAGTTGGGCAACATCAAAACATGAGTAACTTAAAACCAAACATGATCTGCCCATGACATCATAAAATAAACAAAAAATATGATTACACCCCTTAGAATTCAATTTTGTTTAACTAAAACCCATCATGGTAAGTTTTTCTAACAAAAACTCAATGACTAGGCTCCAACTAAGCAATATCCATAATTAAGTTTGACTTGGCAAAATTTGTATATGTCTAAATTACCCCTAATAACACTTACTTTGGGTCTCTCACTTATTATCTACATTTTATTTTACATTATTTGTCTTCAAATACCTTATGGGGATTTGGAAAAAAATTTAAATGTCATTATTCCTATGCATTTAATAACAAAAATTTACATGATACCATTGGTCCTTATATATTTGTTTTCTCATGATGCTAACAAGTAAATTAGTATATCCTACAAATATCAAAAAGTTATTTTATCCAAAATTATCAATATTTTAAATATAACATAGGTAAATTATTTTGCACAACATATATATAATAACAATATAAGTTCCTAGTAAATTATGTAATAACACGTGCAAAATAATTTACCTACAAAATAAATAAATATTTTTTATTCAAAATTAATTAAATACCAATATTTTGTAAAAAAAAAAAAAATATATATATATATATATATATATATATAAAACAATTTACCTACATGCAAATAATTTACCTACAAAATAAAAGAATGTCGATTGATTGCACACTCTATGTAATAATAACAAAATGTGGCTAGTATATATGTATTATCACATGACAAATAGTTTACCTACAAAATAAATAAATGTTTTTAGCCAATTGATTCAAAATTAATTAATTACATATTATTTTACATAAAAATATAGATAAATTATTTGCACGCATATATATAATTTTAACAAAATGTGCCTAATAAATACATGTAAAGTAATTTACCTACAATGATTGTCAAACAAATAAAAGAAATGAAACATATGATGGTAAGAGAAGTATAAAGTAGATAATTTTATAATAATAGGGCACTTATTTACCACAATTATGGTGGATAATTAAATTCATTAACATAATTAGAGTGTTGTGGCGCAATTGTAAATAATTTGAAAATAATAGGTATTTATTTGTTTACATGGCGGTCTACTTCAAATTTGGGTTTTATTTGAATGTTTAAAATGAGATAAGTTTTTGTCAAGGAAATAAATGTTGCATGAAATTATATCTGAGGGACCCTAAAATAAAATTGTCTTCATAAAAGTTTTGACACGAACTAGTGTAGATGCATTATACAGGGGATATGATTAGGGTTGAAGACTACAACCCTAAATTTATGTTTAAAAGTGAAACCGCATACTTTTCTATGTATTTATTGCATGCTAATTTATAAAAATTATATTAATATACATACATAATCGGATCGCATTGGTTGGGAAATAAAAATACCATCATCGCTTTATATCCGACTCAGATTTTTTTTTCAAATATCCAAACCCGACCCATACCCGTTTATTGTCCTGAACTTGCCGTTAACTCTTCCAGCCCCTGTGGTTTAATGATGTTGGTATTGTCGATCCATTTTTTGACATCGACATAAAACGTGTGGTTCCTTGTGTGTAGAATAGGTGAACAATTATACCAAATGTGTGTGTAAGCTACTTGTTCTATCTTGTTTAGATTAACAGATTTTCTCCACTGCACAACAAAACTACACAATAATTTGCAATTGAATAAAAAGTGTTACATTAATTGATCTAGATGTACTCTTCAGTTCCTGTAAATTGGTCTGGATAGTGTACTCCAAGGACATTTTTCAGCTGGTTTTGGGTTCTTAAGTATATTCTCTCTTTTATTTTTGCTTATGACTTTTTGACAAACGATACGATAATTACATTAAATTTATCTAAAATATGAGAAGGGAGATTCAAACTTGAGTGTAAAGGTGGAGCATAATGCTCAAGCAACCTTGGTTAAATCATGTTTGCATGCATGATAACTTTTTTAGAGTACCAATAACAGCTCTAAATTGTTTTGTTTTAAATCTTTAAACTATTGTGTACTTACAAGACTATTAGAAGATGGCACCTCGCTTACTTTTTGCAGATGTTCAAGGTGCCAAGCATTGAAAAAACTGCTTGCGCCTTTGGATTTTGAAACCATTTTCCCTCTATAAAAACCATTTTTTGCCATTGACGTCGATTTGAAGTATCTTTATCTCTTTCATTACTGTCAAAACACTGCACTTTCCTTGTTTCCTTGATTTTCTCTGCTTCATCGAACTACCTTGCATATTCACAACGGCAATCGGCATCGTCTTTGCGGAGAATATGAAGGGTTGATACTCGATAGGGAACTGACGCTGCAGAGGTTTGTGAATGAGAAAGGTTGAAGGGACTAATAAAACTGAAACTATTGAACGAGAAGCAAAAATGCTGGAAACGTATCGCTTTCAGGTTGATGATCAGGATAGTGAGAACTCGTTGAAATAACATGAGCTGGGCTAGGGCAGAGAATAACTAGTTCTATTCGGATAGTTTTCGGTTACCTTTGTTGACCTCAGACTCTCACAAGCACCCTGATCATGGTTAATTCGGCCGGTCCTGATATTTTTGAGGTCCAGGGCTACGCTAAAAAATATGCCCTAACTTCATATAAGGAAAATTATTTGTTTTCACACATATGACTTCGATAAAATTATATTTAGAAAACCACTTCAAACTCAATATTTTAGAAATACAGAAAAATTAATTTAATTTGTGCCAAGAGAAGGGAACCAAAAAACCCCGGGATTACAAGTAAATAGATGATAAGTGAAATTGAAAAAAATAAACATGCATATAGCATTTCGAACTTAGGACCTCTCGTTAATTTTAAACAAAAAAAAAAACATTGTTTCTGATTAAGCATCTTAATAATTTAGCCAAATTTCATAAATTTAAACTCTTATGAAAAGAAATTTGTTAAAGTTGGAAATTAAAAAACATACCGTGTTTCGAACACAAGACCTCCTTATTAATTTTAACAAAATAACCACCGCTTATGGTCAAACTTTTTGAACATTTAGCCAAATTTTATATATTTATACCTTAATAAAAGAAATTTTGTAAAAATTAGAAAGTAAATAAACACGCATGATGTTTTGAACCCAAGACCTACTAATTAATTTCCAACAACAAAAACCACCTCTTCTAGTTAAATTTATTTGTTATTTAATCAAATTTAAAAAATTTATACTCTTATGAAAACATATATGAATATATCACTAATAATTTTGATACTCCCAATTCTTTTAGGGCCAAACGGTCGTCTAGCTCGCATTGGGCCTGGACCGGCCCTGTTCGGCCTCACTCGTGACAAGATCTTGCTCATGCACTGTTTTTGGTTATATCAAAAGGTCATGAGGCATCTTAACTCGAGGAAAAAAAAAAAAAAAAAAGAAGAAGAATGAAATTGCTAAATGTTCTTAGTTTGATATGTGCCCTTTATGTGACATAATAAATATATAGGTTCGATTTTTATATGACAAATTATATATATATGTATATGTATGTATTTTATCTAGCCTAAAAAAATTGGGGGCATCAAATTTATTAGAGTGAAAAATCCTCATAAGGGTAGAGTAGAAAATCCTTATGAATATAGGTTCGATTTTTATCAAAATTTTACAAAACTATCAAAATTATCAAAACATCACTCTTGGGTTCAAAACATCACTCTTATCAAAATTATCGAGTTTTACAAAACTATCCTCATAAGGATTTTCTACTCTACCCTTGTGACGGAATTTTCTACTCTACCATTCTAATAATTTTAATGTATCCCGTCACAAGGGTAGAGTAGAAAATCCTCATAATGTTAGAAGAACTAAGGAGGCAAGAGGGATGGAGAGTAAGGAAATTCCCTCCCTATAATGTCCCCATTGAGTTGGCAAAATACATTGCAAACGGAGACTTTGACTTTGGTCTACAAGTAAGGCACCAAGAAGCTTCATCAAACATGAAGAGTTGACTTTGGGTCTTTACGCGTTAACAAGGACTGTTGAACGGAATTACCATCTTGCCCTTCTGAAATTCGAAACCCACGGATAGCTGGTCTACCTAACGAGGATAGTTTTGTAAAATTCGTTGTTGAACTTGAACCTGTTAAGCAGATCATAGAAGCACAAAGGATTGCAGCATCAAGTTGTCATAAACAGATAGAATCACAAAGGATTGTTCAGAACTTGAGTTGTAAGTTCCTCTTTGATCCTAAGTTTTGTTAATAATTAACTCTTGGATTTTGCTTCATTATTTTTAATTATTCATTTATTGCCTTGATTTTGCTCTGATTAGTAGTAATCTTATGGTCTGCAGAGAATATTAACAAAGTGAATAAAACCCAATTGATGCAACTTTTGATTTCCTTGATTTAACATTACAATTTCTTCTTCTTGCATTATAATTCGCTAGTGCAATTGAATTCTCTTTCTAAATGGCCGTTTGATAACCATTTCGTTTTTTCTTTCTTTCAGAAAAGTTAATTGAAAGTTGAAATAGCCATCAAACAAGCCTAATTTTCATAGGTTTTACCAAGTGGTTGTTGTTCAAATGTATAAGGGGATTGGAAACTGTTAGTGTTAAGGAGGCAATTGATGTTAGGAAAAAGAACTGTAAAATATGATTGATAATCTACTAAGTTGCAAGATTGTATATTCTCAAATGTTCAAAATTCATGACATATTTTTCTTTTAATCTTATTAGATTTCTGCAAGATGGTGGATGCAGTAGTAACTGTGTTCTTGGAGAAGCTGCTAGGAGCTCTGTCGGAGGAGAGCCGAATTTTTAGTGAATTCAGGGGCCAATTCGAAACGTTACAATCCGAACTCCAACTAATGCAAAGCTTTCTCAAAGATGCAGAGCGGCTCAAGAGGAAGAACAAGACCGTTCGCAGCATCATGGCGACTTTGCGAGAATTGATTTATGAAGCCGAAGACATACTAGCAGATTGTCAACTTGACTCGAGAGATGATGGTCCGCTTTCGAGTGGTTGTTTCATGTGCATCTACCCTTCGAAAATTCCATTCCAATATCAAACCGGAAAGAGCCTTGCAGAAATCAACCAAAAAATTGGTAATATTAAGCAGAACATTATGTCGTACCTTGGAGTTCCACTTTTGAATCAAGTGGAGCCATTGGATGCACAAAATGACCTATTGCCTAGATGGAGCGGTCCTGTGTATGATCATACGCAGGTCGTTGGTTTGGAAGGTGATGCGAGTAAGATCAAACAATGGTTATTTGAAGCTGACAAGGGCATACTAGCCATTGGAGTTGTGGGAATGGGTGGACTTGGCAAGACTACTATTGCTCAAAAAGTATTTAATGACAGGAAAATTGAGGAGCGCTTCGAAAGAAGAATATGGGTATCGGTTTCTCAAAAATTCGATGAAGAACAAATCATGAGAAGTATTTTACGGAACTTGGGAGATGCTAGTGTAGGAGACGACAAGGGTGAATTATTGAAGAAGATAAATGAATATCTTTTAGGCAAGAGGTATTTGATTGTGATGGATGATGTGTGGAGCTTGGATGTTGCTTGGTGGCTTAGAATTTATGAAGCATTGCCAAAAGGAAATGGAAGTAGTGTCATCATTACTACGAGGATAGAGAAGGTTGCACAGAAGATGGGAGTGAAGGAAGCAAGATCACATTGGCCCAAATGCCTCAGCGAAGATGATAGTTGGCTGCTCTTTCGGAAGATTGCATTTGCGGCAAATGGAGGTGAGTGTATGTATCCAGAGCTAGAAAATGTTGGAAAGGAGATTGTTGAGAAGTGTAAGGGCCTTCCACTAGCAATCAAGGCGGTTGGAGGAATAATGCTTTGTAAACCATCGCGCTATCATGAGTGGAGGCGAATTGCAGACCATTTTCGTGATGAGTTAGCAGAAAATGATAACTCGGTTATGGCTTCTCTACAATTGAGTTACGATGAACTTCCATCTTACTTGAAGTCATGCTTCCTCTGCTTGTCACTTTACCCGGAGGATTGCATCATAGCCAAAGACCAGTTGGTCCATTGGTGGCTTGGAGAAGGTTTTATTCCTTTGAGAAGTGGTAGATCAGCAATTGCAGCAGGGGAAGATTGCTTCTCAGGGCTAACAAATCGATGTTTGCTAGAAGTGATCAACAAGACTTATCATGGAACAATCTCCACGTGTAAAATTCATGACATGGTACGCGATGTGGTGATAAAAATGGCGGAAGATGATGCATTTTTCAGACCGGATGATAGAAATTGCCGCCATTTGGGCATTACAGGTAGTATGCTTCAGAAGGACAATCATAAGTTGAGAGCATTGTTGTCTACAACTAAGACCGGTGAAGTGAACAAGATTGCTTCACACACTGCAAAGAAATTTTGCAAGTCTAGATACCTTCGCACAATGGATATTTCGAGGTCAATCTTCAGTATGCCTCTCTCTAGTCTTTTACATCAGATTGGATTTTTGCAGCACCTAACTTACCTTAACTTAAGCAACACGCATCCATTGGTTCAACTCCCGCCTTCTCTCGAAAAGCTTAACAACCTTCAGATATTGGATGTCAGCTACTGTCAAAACTTAAAGGCATTGCCTCCCTGCATTGTGACATTCAAGAAGTTAAGGGTTTTAGACATAAGCAATTGCGGTTCGCTCAAATATCTACCTAAAGGCTTGGGAAGGCTTTCAAATCTTGAAGTGTTATCAGGATTCAAACCCGCCAAATCAAGCCAGTTGGAAGGTTGCAGGATCGGCGAGATCAGAAATTTAATTCGACTTAGGACACTCGGGCTTCAACTAACCTGCTCCGATGAGATTGGAGATACTGAGGTCAATGTGTTGATAAATCTACAAGAACTGCAGCATCTGTCAATAAGTTGTTTCGATAGTCACAACAATGATGATCTCGTCACCAAGCTTGACAAGTTGTTCCCTCCTCAGCAGCTCCATGAGCTGAGTCTAAAGTTTTATCCCGGACAGATTAGTCCAGTCTGGCTCAATCCCATCTCGCTTCCTATTTTGAGGTACCTTTCGATATCATCGGGCAATCTTGAGAAGATGAATGAAAGGTTTTGGGGGCTTAATGACAATGCTGTTTGGAAAATTGAGGGCTTAATGTTGGAATCTCTTTCGGATTTCCACGAAGAATGGGCTAGGGTTGGACAAGTTATGCCGGCGTTAAGAGTTGTAATTGTAAGTTGGTGTCCGGAGTTGGTGTCTTTTCCGATTGAGGATGTCGGGTTTAGAGGTGGTGTCTGGAAGGAAGAAACGAAAACATGAAAACTTCATGTGCCATTGTTGGAATTCTAGTAAATGTTCAGTTCAGTTTTCCTTCTTGTGAATAATCATATGAGGCTATGAACATATCTTCGTGTTATATGTTGCGTTGATGTCATCGTTCATTTGTTACATTGTGTAAATCGTTTGGTTTTCTGTTCATCTTCATGGTTTCTCTTTTATCTACGACGGAACTTGACCTCAAAGATTATAAATACTCTCGCATTTACGACGAGGCACCTCAAGGACATCAACTCAAAGACAACGAGCGATCAATTTACAAGGATATCAGCCGTATGGGTAATGGCTTATTTGAGATTTGTTTCATAGGTCTTTTTTGGAAATGCTTTTAAATGAAGCGTTTTTTGAAAAAATATTTTTGGATTCCGAAAGCACTTGAAGTGTACATAACTTCAAGTGCTTTTCTAATATTCACTTATATTTTTACTAAGGATTAGTTCCATAAACATTTCACCAAAAGCGTTTTCAGTCATTTTAAAAGCGCTTCCAAACGAGTACTAAACATATATATATATGCTCATAAGTGCCTCTTGCATCTTTTACTAGATTCACGTTAAGAATTTATTAAAAATATACGCGTTTTTAAAAAAAATAAAAAATTTGTAAGTGCCTTTATGGCTCACTAGAACTTTTCTGCCAAACAATTCTAGATGTATTTTTAATTGACAGAGAACGCTTTTAACCTTTTTAAAAATAGCCACCAACAAGCATTAAAAGTAGGAAAATTTTCTTCAAAAAGGGTTGGTTGGTAAGCGAAATTGGGTGTTTTGATTGAATTGTAGGTGCAATCTAGAAAACCTAAACATTAGGGAATGATGCATTGAAAATGGTATTATTTGGGCCCAGGCCCAATCATATATACTCTCACCCGAACACCAAGCCTTTTTGATCAAGAGTCTTCTTCTCCAGAACCAAAACCTCCACTCAGTGGTGGTTCGCGCTTGAATTAAACCCTTAACTCTAGATCTGTAATTCTCCATCGATCACTGAAGCACAGTACAATCCACTTCCAAATTCAAAGAATTTCCAATTTCTAGGAATCATGGATCCCGATTCAGTGAAATCCACTCTCCAAAATCTAGCCTTTGGAAATGTAATGGCCGCAGCGGCCCGCAATTACCAAAAGGAATTGCTCTCCAACGAGAAGGCGGCCGCCACGAGCTCCGCCAACCAGGAGGTCGACCTTGACGAGTTGATGGATGTAAGTTCCGAGTTTAGATTCGATTTGATTCAATTCTGCATCTTTCATGTACATTTCGAGTTCCCAATTTGCAAGGCGATGATTTGTGTGATTATTTTGGATGGGTAGGATCCGGAGCTTGAAAAACTGCACGCGGATCGGATTAATGCTTTAAAGGTTCGATTTTTTTCGTGTTTGATTGATTTGGGGATGTGAGGTTCTTGGATTTGTGTTTTTGTTTGGAGGGTTTGGTTTAAATTTTTGAATTTTGGAATGAATAGAAAGAAGCTGAGAAGCGAGAAGCTTTGAAGAGGAAAGGACATGGAGAGTACAGGGATATAACTGAGGGGGATTTTTTGGGTGAAGTTACCGGAACCGAAAAGGTCATCTGCCATTTTTATCACCGGGAGTTCTACAGATGCAGGTAAGTGCATTTTGGTCTGGAAAATTATGACATGAATTAGTGAGTGTGTTTCGAACTTACTTTGCTTGGTTGTTTCTAGGATAATGGATAAGCATTTGAAGACGCTTGCCTTGAAGCATGTGGATTCTAAGTTCATCAAGCTGGATGCTGAGGTTGGTGTGTGTTGAGAAAAATTAGATTACACAATATAAGTGTTGGAGCGACAAACAAGTAAACAAATTACTTGTGTTACACTCACAAAATATTACAACATTTTTATCTTTTTCTTTGGTTGTCATATCCCACAAAGATGCATCTGACTGCCTTCTTGTCTAACTTGCTACGTAGATGACTAGGAACAAACGCAGCACACGCAACTAAATACTTGAAAGTAGCTACCTATAGGTTTCATATCTCACAGTTTCTTAAAGGGCAAAACAAATTCTAACCTTGGTTGAGGAAGCTTGTTGATCACATGAGCGGTAGTTCTCGTGGCTTCATCCCTAAACCTTTATGGTACATTTTTCCCATGTAGCGTACTCCGACATATCTCTGCAAGATGTCAGTTCTTCCTTTTTGCTACACCAATTTGTTGTGGTGTGTTGGCACATGTGAACTGGTGGCGTATTCTACATTCTCGTAGAAAAACTCATTCAAGGTATATTCTCCTCCATTATATGTGTGTAGGCAACAGATCTTCTTTCCCACTTCTTCTTCGATTGTCTCCCTAAACTCTTTGAACTTTGAAAATTTGTCTAAGTTTTCTTACATGAAGAAAACCCACATGTACTTGGAGAAGTGATCAATGAACGTCACCATGTACTGCATCCCACTTGTCGATGGTCGATTGACAGGCCCAAACACATCGTAGAAAACTAGCTCTGAACAGTTCTTTTCCTTTGAACTTTGACTCCTCGTATGGTAGTTGATGAGTTTTACCATACTGACATCTTGCACAAACTGTGACTGTTCTGACGTCAAGCTGAGGTAGCCCCTTAAGCATTGACTTCATCATCACATTTAGCTTGTGATAGCTAACATGATCAATCTTATGTGCCATAAATCTGTTGTCTCGTTCTTCCTTGTCTTGTCTACGTATGCAATTTCTATTGACATTACATAGACTGACTGCAGTTGCCGTCCCTGAGATCTTGAGGTGTCGATACACCTTCACATCTTGTGGACCAAACAAGACATAATTTCCTAGTGATGTCAACTGTGGCACTGAAAGCAGATTTTTCTTCTTACCTAGAACACGGTAAACGTCTTGAAGCAGCACCTGGTTAGTGTTGTACCAGGACACAATTACCGTCTTACCGATATAAGCAGTCGGTAACCTTGAGTCGATGGTTGTCACCACCAAGCGGCCTCCCTTGTACTTAGTCAGATTATGCAACTTCTCTTTATCATCTATCGTGTGATTTGAAAAGCCTGAATCGACGATCCAATCATTGTTGTGGTCAATCGATTATGGATTTGTTGTTGTGCTAACTCCTGGTCCTCCATAGTGAACGATGCTTCACTATTCTCCTTTGGTCTGGAAGTAGCAGCATTGCTCTTTGCATGCCATTTAAACCAGCAATTCTTCGCCGGGTGGCCCTTCTTTCCATAGTTTAAGCACTTTCCCTGAAACCTTTTATTATTCAGGGGCTGACCACGGTTGCCGTGATATTTTGGAGCTCCCTCTGCTAAGAACTTTCACCTCCTTGATGACCTTTCGCCATGTCATCATTTCTTTTAGATCCACCACCAGCATGTTGCTTAAAGCTTCCTTCACTTTTGTTGGTGTAGATTGCTTCTTCCTCACCTCTTGACAAGACCCCTCCCATTTGCTTCGCCAAAGCATCTTGATCGGCAGGCAAATTTTCAAACTTAACAAGTGATGGTTGGGTCGGCCATCCTTGTGCAGGGGCAACAAAGCCTTGGTATTCAGGTCTCAACCTATGGATAATTATTCTTTTTATCCTGGATTCCACAATGGCAATAGTAGGATCTAATTCAAAATTTTCACAGCATTAGACTTTACCTTGTGGAAATACTAGGAAATAGTCATATTCCTTTAGGCCACCGATAACAACTCATTCTCAAGAAGCTGTAGTCTTGTATTGTTCCTCTTTGAAAAGAGTGACGAAGGTATCCCATGCTTCTTCCGGTGTTTTAGCTTTTCGTATGTGCTTCAACATATCCTCTTCAATTGTGGGTTTTAGGGTGAATACGGCCTTCTCTGCCTTGATCTTCCACTTCCGCAAAGTGCCTCTGGTGTCTTCTTTAGGCTGGGTAACTTCATTACCGCCTACGACCTTCCAAAGATCTTGGTCTTGATGGTAAGACTCCATACATGTCACTCATGTGTTGTAATTTTTATAGTTCAATTTCTTGATTCCTCCAACAACTTGAAGATTACCCATCGTGCTGGCAAAACTTTGATACGCCGAACAAGATTAGTCAACAATATTGCGAATTACTAAACTTCTTATGATTCTCGAAAGCTTTAACAGAGTCGGTCCTTGATCTTACCGCTCTTATACCTGTTGAGAAATATTAGAGTACACAACTCTAATATAAGTATTGGAGAGAAAAAACAAGTAAACAAATTACTTGTATTAAAAAAATAACACAAACTCTCAAGACACAATTTGAAGTTATGACACTCTTTCAGTTTCTAGAGACATACTTTAGAACTCACACTCTTCTTACTTCTCGCTTGCTTCTCTTCTTACTTTCTTCTTTTCTTAATTCGTTACACAACACACACCTATTTATAGGTGAGTTTGCCGACCTAAGCCATTGTCCACCGACTTGGGACTTTGCTAGTGGCCACACAAGTTGCTAGCTTCTAGGTCATTGTAACAAACAAACCTATTTTATATTATAGCTAGAACTTTCTAGCTTGCTAATCAAATATGCATGCTCCACTGACATAACCTACTAGAATTATCTAGCATATCCAATACGCGTGCACCGCCATTTCTATTGCTAGAATTATCTAGCAAAATCTTATGCATGAATCTTCTAGAACACCAAGAGACTTCCATGATGGTTGGCTGAGGAAAACACTCTACAGTCTGAAACAAACACCAAGGGCGTGGTATGGTAAGATTGCAGAATTTCTCACACAAAGTGGTTACTCTGTGACAAATGCAGATTCCAGCTTATTCGTTAAAGCTAATGGAAGAAAGTTAGCTATCGTACTGGTGTGCCTAGATGACCTAATCATCACTGGTGATGACGAGGCAGAAATTTGTTGAACAAAGGAGAATTTGTCAATTCGGTTCAAGATGAAAGAACTTGAACAACTCAAGCACTTTCTTGGACTAAAGGTTGATCGCACACAAGAAGGGATATTTCTATGTCAACAAAGTATGCAAAAGATTTGTTGCAAAAGTTTGATCCACCTGACATTTCTTATGCAATTGGTGTGATGAGTTGTAAATGCAAAATTTAAGGAAGCCTTGTCTAGAAGCGGTTTGACGAATATTGACATATGTAAAGAACACAACTGACTATGGTCTCGTGTACAAAAAAAAGAGAAGACTGTAAGTTGGTTGGCTATTGTGACGCAGATTTTGCAGGAGATCAACCACTAGGTATGCCTTCAGAATTGGTTCTGGAGTAGTTTCGTGGTGCAATAAGAGACAGCCAACAGTATCTTTGTCAACCATGGAAGCAAAGTATAGGGCAGCAGCAGTGGCAGCTCAGGAAATTAAATGATTGAAGCAACTAATGAATGATATGTGTGGATTATGAAGTGTCATTATATTGCGACAATCAATCAGCAATTTGTTTAGCGGGAAGTCCGGTTTTTCATGTGAGAACTAAGCATGTGGAGATACATATTTTATCAGAGAGAGTTTTAGAAGAAATTGAGATGTGGCTAATTAAGAGAGACAAAAGTTGCAAACTTGTTCACAAAAAGGTTTGAGTACCGGCAAGTTCGAAAAGTTTCGTCATCAACTCAGCATGGAGAAAAGAATGAGCTGGTGTTGAGGGGGAGTGTTAAAGATCAACGCTAGCCCATTAAGCCTAGCCTATCATGGAAGTCCTTGGTGTTCTAGAATGCATAAGATTTTGCTAGATAATTCTATCAATGGAAATGGCGGTGGATGCATATTGAATATGCTAGATAATTCTAGCAGGTTATGTCGGTGGAGCGTATATATTTGATTAGCAAGCTAGAAAGTTCTAGCTATAATATTGTTTGCTAGAATGACCTAGAAGCTAAAATTTGTGTGGTCATTAGCAAAACCCCAAGTCGGTGGGCAATGGTTTAAGTCAGAAAACTCACTTATAAATAAGTGTGTCTAGTTATGTAACGAATTAAGAAAAGAAGAAAGCAAGTGAGAAGTAAGAGGGTGAGTGTTCTAGACTAGAGTGTTGTCTCTAGAAAGTGAGACTGTCATAACTTCTAAATTTTGTCTTTGAGAGTTTGTGTGTTGTAATTTTTTAATACAAGTAATTTGTTTGCTTGGTTCGTCTTTCCAGCAATTATATAAGAGTTGTGTACTCAAATTGTTTGTCAACAGTGTGAACTTCATTCCCCCATTTTGTGTTGTTATAGTTGATGCAACTTTTCGTGTTTACTCGGATTGAGCTTTCTTGATTGCAACCTTCCGTTTTTTGGTCGCTTAGTTTGTAAAGGGTTTAGAATTGGGAATTGAGTATTTGATGATGAACTGCAGAATGCGCCGTTCTTCGTCACCAAGCTGGGAATCAAAACTTTACCTTGTGTCATACTCTTCAGGTCAGGCAATCTCTCTATTAATTATTGTAATTCTGTATCCATGTTCATTTCGAGCATTAAAGAGGCTTACCAGCATGCACCATTTCGCTGTTGTATGAAAAGGCAATTGAGCAACGAAAGCTGGAAATATAGTAATAGCGCAATTATTTGAATTTGCCACAAGAGCATGTGAAATCCGTCATGCTAATTTCATCATACACTTGGATCTTCATTGAAATTATTTACGGATTCAAGGGCTTGGCGTTTGCAGAAAAGGAGTTGCTGTGGATAGGTTGGTTGGATTTCAAGAAGTGGGAACGAGAGATGATTTCAGCACAAGGGCGCTCGAGGTTGCATTAATCAAGAAAGGTAATGGCTTTGTCAAGTGTGTTTTCCAATTCACATCCTGTTGCGGAGTCTCTAAACTGCCAATTTAACAGGTATAATTAGTGAGAAGAAAGAAGACGATGATGAAGATGATGGATATCTTGAAGGCGGTCGTAGGACAGTAAGATCGTCTGCGAATCTTGATTCGGATTCAGACTGAAACCGGATCCTGAGTTTTCAAATGCGTTGTACACTTGTTGTGACTTCTAATTTATGTTACCATATGATTGGGATCGATTTTGTTTTCTCTTTTTGTGGAACGCATTTGCAGTGGAAATATCTTCTTCTAGGCATTCATTTTGTTATTTATGTCAAGTCAGTCACTGTAACCAATCCTCTTTCTTAAATCGTGCACCACACGTTAATTTCTCGTGAACAAACTACGCTAGCATAGTTTAACAATTGCATGGAAATACGATTTTATTGCTAAACCTTCAGTTTGAGATGAACCTTACTTGATATATACGCCGTTTATATGCAAGTTCTTCTCCTTGGTAAATGGTAAATGTTAGCCGGTCCTGAGATTTAACTAGGTAATCCAAATCTCAAGATTTTTCTTCCATCAAATCCCAAATACGTAGATTTGAAAATCTACCGTTCTGTATAAACACCCAGAGGAGTCTGCTGGAGCGCTATATAATGGGAGGACGTTGGTTTCTAACTTCTTATCCCCAAAAATAAAAGAAGGCAGCAGGTGAAGAAAAAGGACAACAAATACACAATGTGTATCTCTCTCTAATCCAGTTAGCTGAAACACTCTTATTTTGCTGCATTACTCTTCTTTGTTTTGGTTTGTTTTTTGTTGGTTTGAGGTGCCTCTGATTTTATTGATATTGCGTTATTTTAGAAGTGATTTTAGATAACCAAAACCGATTCTCATAATATTTAACATGAATAGTTAAAATGCTTCTGGGTTAGAAAAGCATCTGGTCGTGCTTTATAAGAAAGCATTTGCCAAATGTTTCTTTCAAGAAATATTTCAAGTGTTTTTTGAATTTTTATTAAATTTGTCAACGTATTACGATGGAAGTGCTTCTAAGCATGTTTTTCAAAGTAGCATTTCTAAACGAACCCGATATTAGTAAGCCATGATCAAATTACATGCCCTATATTGTTTCATGATTATTGTTAATAAAATTGTTCTCGTACCTTCGAGATTTTATTAAAATGAAAACAAAACCATGCATGACATGAAGGCAATACAGTTTTACCGGGAAAATCAAAGATACGTTATTTAAATTTGAGTGGAGGTGCCTTGCGTTTCGCCTTGTGTCGAGACCTCGTCAAACATCAAGCTCTGAACTGAATCGAAACCTTAAAAAAAGAAAACAAGATTTACTAATTTTCTTCTGTCTGTCTTCCAAACATGTCTGCCTCACTGTCTCTCCGCCATTTTCTAAGAACTCTCAAATCCCAGCTAGGATTCAGGATATTTGTATCCATCGTTTTCTCTCTCCCCCCAAAACCCCATTTATTTTTTTTTTCTGGGACTCCCCCCGCCCCCCAAACACTGTGTTCACCAGAGGACAGAGGTAATGAAATCAGTAATTCTATTAATTCCATTTTGTTTTTCTGTCTTTTTTACTAAATTGGCGACCCAAACCAACAAGGCTGTTTGCTTTGCAAAAAAGTTGTTTCCACGACTCGAACTCATGATCTTTCGGTCACAAAAGAGCAACATTTTCGTTGGGCCAAGGCTCGGCCTCTTTCTGTCTTAAGTACCGCACAATTTTATTGAATTAATTTTATCTTTCGTTGTTTTTTCAAATTTTAGTTTAGGCTGCATTGTGGTTGTGATTTTGTGAGTGAGAATGTAAATGCAAGCATTTTGTTATATTGGATTTCCATTAAGTTTTCTCATTTTTGTTACTGCCAAAATTTACTTGGAAGTAATTTGCCTTTCTGGTTGGGAAATTGCCAAAACGATCATTTTTTTCAAATTCCAATTGCAAAATAATCAGTTTTTCAGTATGTCATTATTATTTGGTCACAATGTCGTCGATATCTTATTTTGCAATTGGGTTTTAATTTCTGATCATTTTAGACGATTTCCCTTTTCGGTTTGGTTGTTTCTTTTTTTTTAAGCTGCATTTGGTTACAAGTGGGACTGTAATTGCAGGCATTTGGGCAGGGTTTTGCTTCTGGGTCTGCATCTGTGAATTGTGATATGAGTGCTTGATTCTTCTTCTGCCCTTCAGCTACTACTTTCGCAAAGTTTTCGGACAAGTATACACCATTTTCCTCACAAGTAACACCATGTCTGGACCTCTACCAGGTAATATTTCATTTAGAATCAACGTATTTTCACATCTTGATAACTGTATGCTTCAAACGTGAGGACTTGTCTTGAATTTGTAATGCGCATTGCCACTTTAAAGGAACCTTGGGATGTTGGAATGAACAAAAAGCCTTGGAATTTAATGCACTGATAGGTAGACTTATAAATCTTTGCATATTAGAATGCCTCACGTTTGATGCGCATAGATATGAATCTCTTATGTTGTGTAATTTTCAGTATCTGATGCTGAAATCTCTGAGGAAGATAGAAAGACTAAAGTCGGGTTGTTGAAGAAGAAAGCAATGAATGCCTCTGTTAGGTTCAGAAATTCTATTTCAATAAGGGGTAGAACAAGCAGTAGTAAAGTCTTGTCTATCGACATTGAGGATGTGCATGACTTAGAGGAGATACAGGCTGTTGACTCACTGCGGCAGGCTCTTATATTGGAGGAGCTTCTTCCTTTCAAGCACGATGATTATCATAAGATGCTCAGGTTTCTTCCTCTTCTTGTTCCACTAGAAGTTTTTGTCGTCGATGGTTTTTATGATAGATACTTCATTCTTATTCAATCTAACTGAACCATTGGAAGACAGATTCTTGAAGGCCAGGAAATTTGATGTCGACAAAACCAAGAAAATGTGGTCTGACATGCTCGAGTGGAGGAAGGCATTTGGTACTGACACAATCATGGAGGTATTCTCTGCAGAAATAGGTTCTTAGGCTTTTGAAGTTTGCTAATTATTTCATTTTACATCTTTCCGTTCAATTTTTATGTTTGTTTTCTTTTAGTAAAGAGCAGAATTTCTTTTGTTTATATTTGTCCATCAATCTAGTTACTCATGTATCTATCTTTTCTTCTAGGACTTTGACTTCAAGGAACTCGATGAAGTCTTGCAATACTACCCCCAAGGACATCATGGCATAGACAAGGAAGGACGACCTGTGTACATCGAGAGACTAGGCCTAGTAGATGCGACCAAGCTGATGCAAGCCACAACTATGGACCGCTATCTCAAGTACCATGTGCAGGAGTTTGAAAGGACATTTGCGGTTAAGTTTCCAGCTTGTTCAATTGCAGCAAAGAAGAACATTGATCAAAGTACAACCATCCTCGATGTGCAAGGAGTGGTATGTGATAACCATAACCGCTACTTATACTCAGCAAATGATTTGAAAAACTAAAAACTAGAATCGCCAATGGAAAAACAAGGGAAAAGCTGGTATATTGTTTATAATTGTTCCTAAGATGTGCTAAGATTTCAACTATAAGGGATATTACTTCAATGAATCTTGAGAGGCATACGTGTTTTACGCAGTTTGCATATGCTGGTGCAAGAAAAGCCTTTTTTCCTTCTAAATTTGCTTGAAGTTATATGCAAGTTAAATATTTTTTTTAAACATACTGTAATGCCTCAGGGATTTAAGAATTTCAACAAAGCTGCCAGGGAACTTATTACTCGCCTTCAGAAGATTGATGGTGACAATTATCCTGAGGTACTGCCTTAACATCTTTTGGTCTATAAATTTCGGGACTTCAGAACATTTTTTGTCGATGGCAGAAATATGATGCCACATAAATTATTGTTTTTACCGCAGACCTTGAATCGCATGTTTATCATCAACGCTGGTTCTGGCTTTAGAATGTTGTGGAACAGCGTGAAGTCGTTCCTTGACCCGAAGACTACAGCAAAGATTAATGTGAGTATATAAATTTTGATGCTAAAAGTGCTTGTTTTCGTCAGGGCTACATTAATCGGGGAAAACTATCATCCTCCAGGTCCTTGGCAACAAGTATCAGAGCTAGTTGCTTGAAATAATTGATGCTAGGTAAGTTTGTTCAAAACGAGGCAGACTTTTTAGGATCTTCACCACCATATAAGCTGCTTCATCAGTTCGTTTATTTTGATGTACATATTCTGGCTTGACTTTGCTCCAGCGAATTGCCCAAGTTTTTAGGAGGTACATGTACTTGTGCTGATCAAGGAGGCTGTATGCGTTCGGACAAGGGACCCTGGAAACAACCTGAGATCGTGAAGGTAGATAAAGACCGTCCTGTTTCTTTCTTCTTTTTTTTTCCTTTATGCATCATTACTTCTATGCTTATTTTAACTTCTAATTTAATTAGAATTCATAAGTATCGATTTATGTACTTGCAGATGGTTCAAAACGGCATTCATAAATGTTCAAGAAAACCTGGACTTCAAGTAGGTCTTACTTGAACGTATCTTCTGCTTTTCTTTTTCCTTATAAACCTGCCCCTAGTTGACAAGTTTTTTGGATTGTCACATTTCGGACATGAGATCATCTCAAAATTCTCAGTCGCATGATTTTGAAAACGTAAATGTCATCTATACCTTGATCATATAATCTTCCCAGGGACTCGGTGCAGCTCTAAACATTGGCCCTTCCACTCCTAAACTTAATCATGCACTTTCTCGCTTCCATGAAGAAGTAAGTGCAAAAAACTTCCAAGTTCAATTTAATTTTCAACCGAGCAATTGTCTCATACACTGAGAGCTTTCCTTTTTTCATTTATATGTTTCTAAGCATAGACACACATATACTTGTTATCTGCGTACCTTGTAGCTGAAGTTTCCCTCCTCTCTTGTCGCGACAGTTCTAACTTCCTCTGAAATAATTTTCGCAGGTATCCCTAGCCAAAACTCTCGAAGCATCTTTCAGCCGCAAGGACAGTGCCTCGATGGTTGGTAAATCTGTGGATTCAAGTTGGCCAATGGCGACGGGGAATGTTAAATTTGCCCTCTCAAACGCTAAATCATCTAAGAATTTAGGTGACCTTGTATATTGTGTTTCCTTTCCTTTTCTAGCTCTAAGATAGTCCGTAGGGTCTGAGTTTCCTTTACTTGCAGCAGGAGATTGTTTCGCCAGGAACGACGCTTGCAAACTTCCTGAAGGGTTCGGCTCTCAGATTATGGCTGCTATTCTGACGTTTCTTATGGGCATTGTCACCATGGTCAGATTAACACGTAGCATGCCAAAGAGGCTCACTGACTC